ATATTTATGGAATATGAATAGAGTTTATTAATTATGATTAATACTTTATATTAAGAAACAATTAATTGATTAAAAATTGAATGGTTGAGATGAGGRTTGTATAGGGTGTAGGAATGACAAAGGGTGTAGAATAACATCAAGTTCAACCACTCACAGTCTAAAACCTACGTCATCCACTGATCTTGGATATACTCGTTCACTTGACATTATTGCATCTATGGCCTCACGATCATCAAGTTCAACCACCCACAGTCTGTACTTGAGTCCTTCGTTACAACTCACTCGGTCATCAAGTTTAACCACTCACGGTCTGTATTTGAGTCCTCCATTATGGATCACACGATCATCAAGTTCAACCATCTACAGTTTGTACCTTGAGTCCTTTGCTAATTGTAAATATTTCTTGCTAGGGATAAATGATAATGGTCTCATTCTAAAACCAACAAGCCGACTCTTATGCCTATGGATTCATTGCATTACAATATAAATCACATGACTGCAATTGAAGACAAATGCACTCAAAACATATATATGATATATAATTTGTATCTGATCTAGCAGATAGTACTGACATTCGAACCTAGCATTACAAAGGAATTTATTGGTTCAAGGTTTCAAATCTTAGTCACATTCAGGTTTGTAGCTTAGATAGTATGTTGGGATCAAATCTTAGATTATGATTATCCTTCATCTGAATGGAAGAATCCGATTGATTCATTAAATGCTCATTTCAGTCTTGATTTTCAAGAACTCACAAAATACTCTATGTAGTTATTAACATCTGATGTTCCTACTTCAAAAAAAAGTATAAGTTGGAACCGATCTATAGATTATATTTCTGAATAGATAAATAAGATTTTTCTTGTAGAAGTCTTGCAACTATTTGTATTGATCTAAGAACAAAAATTCTTCAACAAAATCGAAGACTAGTAGAAATGAGGTCAAGATCATCACCATAGTGGATTGGTTTGTCATCTGCCGAAAGAAGATCAATACAAGATAAAGTCAAATTGTTTTTTTTTTTTTTTTTTGACAAATACTATTTCTGGTAAAACGAATTTGGAGTATAAACTTATTCAGGTTCACCAACTCTACCCACTCTCATCCTAGTATGGGAACCTACTTAACATGTCAATAAAAGTAAGTTCTAAAGTACTATTTAATAGTACCGTACTTTCTTTAGTATTCCCTCTACATATAGAAGTATGGGACATGTTAACAAATGTCTACATCAACTTCAAAGGCTGAAATGAAGAGTACAAACATGCATGGGTCAGCGAATCAAATAAAGACATACGTTAAAGTTGGCAATCAATATTTAACGCAATGGTGGTTATAAAAGTTCATCATTGTCATATGTTGCAACTTACTCGTTTTGAAAGAACTTTTGAATGATAGTTCATTAGGTAAAATTGGCATCACAATGTGAAGGACTACTAAGTACTTCAGATCTGAAAGAGTACTTTCTTCTTCGACTCTTTCAGTTATTAGAAAACTTGTCACCAGTCAGATTGTTTAGGATTAGGTCTTACCTTCCTAGCTTCCGCAACAAATCTGTAATTCTTGTTTTAGTACAAAATATAGAATTAAAAGTGAAAATTTGTTGTGTTAGTATTCAATCCCCCGCCCTCAACAAACATATCATCTATGTGCTTTGAACAAATGAAGGAGTTTAACAAAGTTCAAATGAGTTGGAAGATCATAATATTATTTGCAAATATCTTAACAATGAAAAGTGTTTTTTTTGTTAAAAGAACTTGCTACGAAAAAGACAACCATAAAAAGTTAGAATCAAGCTTCCATAGATCACAAAAGAGTTTTAGAATATCAAATTCCCAGTTGAGTTCATGGTCTTGGCTTTTCATCATCTTCATAAGACTCGGACAAACTGACAAATGATTTCACCTACTCAGGAAGATCATCATTTTCAAAGCATCATTCCTTTGAATCTTCAAAATATTGTGAAAAGAAAGAATTTTTTTTGGATGGCTTTGTTCATACCTTTCATTAGAAATGGGTTGCTATGTGTTAGAAGAAAATGAGTATGAATCTATCGAGTCCACAAATCATCCCACTCAAAAAGATTTATGCAAAAGAGGCAAGAATAATGAAAAGTCCTTTATTCCCAAATGGACAAATGAGATTGGCATTCTAGGTTCAAAACCGTCTGCCTTCATCAACTTTTTCTTCGCAAAAGAAATCCTCAATTTCAGAACTTTCAAAAGAGATTTCACAAGTTTCTTAGACCATCTTCTTCTAGAAGTGATATAATTGTGGAAAAACTTTTTTACTAACATTGTTCAAAATCAATAATGGGTTGTTATTCCCTGCTAAAAGACTATGCGTCAGAAAAAGGATCTTTTGTTCACAAAAGTAGCTTAAATAATGAAATATTGCTTCAATTATTAAATCTTTCAAATTTTTAAATGGTTAAGTAATGTAGTTAGATTTATTAGATTCATTTTTTTAAAGAAAATTTTGACTAATCGGATGTATTATTCTTCATCGGATTGAGGTTCTTCATTCGTAATCAGATGTACTATCCATTACCGAATTGAAGTTCTTCACTCATAATCGGATGTGCTATCCATTATCGGACTAAGGTTATTTATTCTTAATAGTATCATTCAATGATGTCCTTTTGAAAGAACCATTCATCTCATATGGTCCAAGTTGTTTCTTTGT